GTTTTTGGGACTTACCCACAGTATATTAATAAGGCGAAATACCGCAAACTGGTAGTCCAAATTAATGGTAATTTCTTTTATGGAAAATAAAAGTAATTTTTATGTCTAGCAGTTTTCCAAGACGATAAACAAAACATTATTCTCACTGCATTTGCTTACTTGAGGGGGAAGATACAAAGTCTTGAACTTTTTTCCTAAGAAATTTGTGCTTCCATGTTGTCAAGAGGGATGGTATATGCATCATTTTAGATCGAGGAGCTGGAATTAAAGCAACAATGGACTCTTTGAGTAGAATCTGAAAACCTCCACATGTCCAACACTATTATTGTATCTGACATATTGCTGCAAACTACCATGGAAAATTTAAGAAGAATAATGAAAACCAATTACTTATATGCATAGGTATGTTATATATTTTTTTCAATTTCATTTCTCAATCTTTTTCATTTTATTTACTTATACTTGTCAATAACTAGTACATATTACTTAATTTATGAACTCTTACCTCAAAGGTTTGAGTATATGCTACAAGAGTTGCAAGCCAAAACTGAAGAAGGCTACAATTACATCAGACTCATTAAGAAAGAAATGTGGACAAATACATACGATAGGGGGTATCGATATGGTCATATGACAACGAACTTGGTTGAGGCTATTGATTTAACCTTAAAAGGGGAGTGTCATTTACATGTAACAACTTTGGTTAAAAAGAAATATTTTCATTTGGGTAAGCTTTTTGCGAAGCTCGGGGGACAAACTCTTACTTGGATGCAAAATGACCATATTTATCACCCAAGATTAGTAGCAGATCTACACAATAAAGTTGCAGCATCAAATGGGATATTGGAAACATATTTTTCTCATACCCATGAATTATTACGTGTGTCGAAGATGCCACGACCTCTTGAAGGGATTGAATCTAACTCTTTCAGAGTGAATCTACAATAAAGGTGGTGTGACTATGGGTTTTTTCAATCTCTAAAGTATCCATGCTCTCATGTCATAGCAGCTTGTTCACATTCCCATTTGGACTACAAACGTCATGTTGATCTAATCTATCAACTTTTGCAATTATTCAAGGTATATTTGAGTTCTCCCTATAGGAAATGAAAAATACTTGAATAAGATTCAGAATTAGCTTACAATTATACCCTACTTTTATTAAGGGAATCATGTCATCCAAAATCCACTCGAATTCATTGTGATATGTATATTCGAGAGACGTCAAAAGAACCTAAAAGATGTGTGCATTATAGAAACCCATGCCACAATAGGAAAATGTCCATTTCTTTTATCATCTCTTAACCGTGGACCATAATTATGTAATTTATTTTCTGGTATTGGAATTTATGTTATTTTAATTTTTGAAATTGTATTTTATGGTCTTCTATTTTATGTAATTTTATTTTGTATTTTGTCATATAAATATCAATGATTTTATGTACTTTTTATTTAATTTTATTCTTTAAAAGTTTTACATTCACAATCTCTTAAAGATATATATATATATATATATATATATTATTGTTATATATTAAAATATCTAAACTTATATTGTTCTAAATTGGAATACCTAAACTTACTATCATTTCAATTTTTTAAGGACTAAAATACAAAGAATTAAATATCTTAGGGCTTATATTTTAACAGAAAATAACTTTAATATTTTAAAAACCCGTACCCTAGCTCTAAACTACTAACCCTAACCTTAAAATCAGAGTGGTATGGAAAAATATGTGTTCTACAGAAAGCGCATTCCATATGTGTTGTCAAATCCGTAAAAGGCGCGTTCTGTAGAACTAGCTTTTGTCATGTATGCTTAAGACACGTTTTGCAAAATACGTTTCATCTCAAAGGGTGATATTTTAATAAATATTGGTAAAATGATGTTATTTGGTAGATAATGATTTTTAAGTATTTTTAGATATAATTGCATAGTTCACATGATGATCCTAATTAGGGATGGTAAATAGGTGGGTCGGGTGCGGATACCCTCTCCCTTATCCCCATACCCACATAATATTTTCAAATTCACCACCCGTCCACCACCCATAATGGGTAAAATTTTTCAAATCCACACCCGCCCACGCAGATACATTCTCAAATCCATCCCCACCCCCACTACCCAACTGGAGACGTACCCGACTAGACTCGCCTGACAACAACCTTAAGTTATACATAAACAACAAACATAAAACAAATACGCCCATTAAGAAGCATAATATTAGTCTCTAAAGTTATACCTAATATTTGGTTAAATTATAAGTTATATATTATACAATATTAAGATTTATAAATTAGTACCTAAATTCATAATTGTCCAAAATTTAATGGGTATTTAGTGGGCGGGCGGATGTGGGGCGAGCTGATGCGGGCAGGTAAGATCTCAAAATCATCACCCGCCCACTACCCGCGATGGGTACCATTTTCTAAATCCACACCCGCCCACTACCCACTAAAGTTATACCCATCCCCGCCCCATTTAGAACGGGTACGAAGCGGAGTCCATGAAATTATACCCGTTTACCATCCTAATCCTAATCTACCTAGATGAATTCCATCACCCACTCTTATCTGACCCACATATTAATGATTTCCATGAGGCACCTGAAGATGATCACTAGGTAGAGTATAAAAGGAAATCAAACCTTGTCACATAAGGTTAGGTTCATCTCCCTCCTCTTACTCTCCTTTCATCTCATTCTACTTACTCCACCTTAATATTCCTTGAGCACTATATCCAACGGTTCCTTATCTAAGCTTACAAGAGTAAATCGTAGTATACCACCACCTTCAAATTATACCCTCATCAATACATAATATGCTTGGTTCATTCACCCTTTCAACATACAATATTGGCTCTTCTAAATTATGTTGGAAGGCTTATTGGAAATTAAATGAAATATGGTAGTATTGGATAACATCACAGATAATATATAGTTGTATTATTGAAGCAATAGATCTGTATTTTAATAATAATAAAATCCTTATAAATAAGTTACATGCATTATTGTTTTTCACTAAACAGCACTGATTACGTTGTCATTTGAGTTTAGTCTTTCCATTATTATTATGAAGGGAAATTTTATAGTTATTAATTATTGGCTCAATAATTATAGCAATCAAATTTATATGAATATATTAACTTGAAGCCAGGTCTGCAGCTTACTTCACTAGTACTAATAATACAGTTTTTTTTTAATAAAATAGCTTTAATTTATTTTTGAAACTCGTTTTCTAACGACATAAAATTAGTTATAAAAGTGATTAACAATTCATTTTGGATTGATTTTAGATTAAATGTATTTTTATTATGGAGTGGAAACAAAATCGAACGTTGAAAATAATAAAATGGAGCTAATTCGAATTTCATTAGTTTAAATCAGTTCGATTAATTAATTTTAGTTTTTTTAACGAAATTATATAATATATGAAATTATTTTTTATTATTTTAAATACAAATGGTTATTTATATATTATAAAATTAAATTTTTAATTATAAATAATAAATCAAAATAATTTAATTTGACTTGGATAATTATGATTTGTTAAAGTATGAGCCAATATCAAATACAATTAAATGTATTTAAAAAATTAAAATTGGATTTATTCAATTAAATTGGATAATTATGATTTGCTAAATTATGAGCCAATATCAAATACAATTAAATGTATTTAAAAATGCATAAATGATCCTTTGGCTCCAGGATAATGTTTTATTGAGTCATCCGATTATTAAAAGTTATAAAATGATCCCCAACTATAGAGAGTTGCTTTGTTGAGTCCCTCGACTATTAAAAGTTACAAAATGGTCACATGACTATTCATTATGTTCCAAACTTGTCATTTTTCGTTAAAAAATTGATGACAATTTGAGCTGGACGTTAACTTGATGACTGAGATATGATAAAATTTGATCTCATAATCTCAAACAACTATCATATCTCAGTCCGCATGTTAATGTTTATCAGGCGTATTTAAGGGTGGACCTACCTAGGCCATGACCCACCCCATAACCTAAAAAATAAAAATATATAATTTTAAATAAAAATATGCATATATTATGTTAAAAGTTATAGGGTAAATTATATATTTAGTACTCAAACTATTATTTTTGTTTTGTTTTTGTATCCAAACTTTAGTTTTTTCAATACCATACCTAATGTTTAGTTTAGATTTCAATTTAGTACATGCCCTTAAAAAATTAACATAATTACTGATGTGACATTTTTTTCAATGATAACGTGGATTGCCTTATGGTAACACATCAACATCACCATTAAATTTTTAACGGTGAGGTACTAAAATGAAACCTAAACTAAACATAGGTATGGTTTTGAAAGAAAATAAAGTTTGAATACCAAAACAAAAAAGTAATAGTTTAGATACTAAATATGTAGTTTACTCAAAATTATATTGGTCAAATTGATTTTTTTGGATTCAGTTTATATATATATAGTTATTATATTTTTAAATTAAAAATTATATATGAATTATGTTAGATAAAATTTTTATTATATTTATATTGACCCTTGCAATAATTTTTTTTTACATTCGCCACTGATGTTTAGCTTAGACGACTGTTAATTTTTAACATAAATTACTAGTTTGAAATATAATGAATAGTTAGATGATCATTTTGTAACTTTTAATAGTCGAAGACTCAACAAAACAACTCTTTGTAGTCAATAGATCATTTTGTAACTTTTAATAGTTGAATGACTTAATAAAATAGTATCCTATAATCAGAGGACCATTTATTTACTTTACCCTAAAATTAAATATTATTATTCGAATCTATCTCTTGTGCTCGAATATATATATATATATATATATTTAAACTTTCCTGCTCTAGACATTACATTAAAAACGAATAATAAAAGAAAGTTATATATTTTTGTTCAAGATTTGTTGCCTTTCGGTGATAGCAAATGGGAAAATTTACCTGATTACGGCGGTGACTACATATATATAACGTGCTGGATTCATTCATTGATGTCTGAACCACTTTGGAGGGTTGCGTTTCTTTTGGTGAAAGAAGTCTCATTTATACTTTTCCCTGCTCCTTACGGTTTCATTTCTCTCAAGAATCACAAACGAAAAGAAAATGTCTTCCCCCAGCAAACGCCGAGAGATGGACTTGATGAAACTGTATGGTTTTCCCTTTTTTTTCTTCGAATTATAATCCTCAGCAAGAGTTGTTTACTGCTATATTTATTTTTTGGGGGTTTTCTTTTTTTACTTTTTGCTAGGATGATGAGTGATTATAAGGTGGAGATGATCAATGATGGCATGCAAGAATTTTATGTTGAATTCAATGGGCCAAAAGATAGTAAATATCGCTTCTTTACTCTTTTTGCCTTTTTTGTAATTATTTATATGATCTGTAGTTCTGCTGAAAAATTAATTTTCTTTTACTTTTTCCTTCCTGTGGTTTTTTTTTTTTTCTGTGAAGTTCGTTTTCCCTTGGTTTTTGATATTGGTATTTCTCGTTTGATGATTTTGAATCTTGATATTTGAAGATTAACATATATCAACATCTTTGCACTTGTAGGCTAATTAATCTTAAAGTGTAATTCTAAGTATTTGTTCTTTTATGAGCTGCCACTTTGTATTTAGTTCATTGAATTTTCTGAATAAGGATGAGGTTGGTTGATGGATTTTGTTTCTGGGTATTTTTAGACTCTAACCAATTGTGGATTCTTATCACTTTTTATTCCCTCACTGATTATTTGATATGGAATATGACAGGTCCTTATCATGGTGGTGTGTGGAAGATAAGGGTGGAGCTCCCAGATGCTTATCCTTATAAATCCCCTTCAATTGGCTTTATAAACAAGATCTACCACCCAAATGTTGATGAAATGTAAGTTTTTGGTTGTTAATATGTTCTAAACTTGGTAGCCTGAACTCTGTCTGAGTGGTAGTATTAGTCTGTGCGAGGTAATTTAGAATGAGCAACTGGTTTTGACATTACAAAATGCTCCATTGTTGTTAAACTAATTTATCAGGTCTGGATCCGTTTGTTTGGATGTGATTAATCAGACTTGGAGCCCCATGTTTGGTAAACCTCGAAAATTTCTTTGGTTTTCTTCATTTTGTTCTTTCTTGTTTTAAAGCAGATGGAATTAGTACTCTTGGAACTTGACAATCTCTTTAAGTATTTGTTTCTTTTGCCCTTGTGTTGGATTCCAGATCTGGTGAATGTGTTTGAAGTGTTCCTTCCCCAACTTCTTTTGTATCCGAATCCTTCAGATCCATTGAATGGAGAAGCTGCTGCCCTTATGATGCGTGATCGTGCATCCTACGAACAAAGGGTGAAAGGTAAGATTCCTGCTTAAGCTTTTATATTTTGTTTATGTGCTCCTTTTCTATAAGAATGTTCGGCTCTAAAGTTATGATATTTACTTGGATTTCTTGCTTTTGTGAAGCCAATTAAGTGCAATTGAGACAGCTTACCAGAATTTTTCTTGATCACCTCTGTTTTTGTAAGAAATTATTTGAGTCAATCATAGATGTTGGGAGCATGGAAATTGCTTGTATAAGTGGAATGCAACTTCCTACCCTATTTATTTTGTACTCAGTTGGCTAATGGCCATTTTGTTGAGTTGTTAACAATAATCAACTTTATTGCTAGTCTAAAGTACTAGGCAAAACCAATCTTGAATTATCCAAAAAAAAAATACCAATCTTGGACTTCATCTTAGTCTAAACTAGTTCCAGTTTTAGTTTCTAAATGACTAGGCATCTCAGTTTTTTATTTTCACAAGCTTTATTCCATTTAGTGGAAAAGGTTGATAATAACAATGCATGAAAATTCCTTGTTCTACTGCATTCACAACATTTGTTTGTCTCCTTCTTTATCCTGTTCATACTATTTGAATCGATGATTTTGGACCATTTCTTTATTTTATAGTTATCATATCCTCGCTGTAAGTGCAAGCAAGTCATGTTTCTATTTTGTGTTTCAAAGTTGCTTGAAATTTCACTTTAGAATAAATTCAAGTAGAATAATTTAATCTCTTGGTCCATGTGAAATTTTTTTTACTTGCTCTTCTATAAGCTTGGAGGGAAGTGGATATGATGCGTAATTCTAAAGATCATTTCCATTTACAACACATATTCTTTGTTTATAGAAAGGATTCCTTGTTTGTAGTTTCATTTATGTAATAGATGACATAAGTATTACGCTGTAAATTTACGGGTTATAATGAACCCGATGATAATTCCACTTGATAAATCGTGGAAAGTTATTGCTTAAGGGCTCAAAGAGACCCAAAACTGAACCTTGTTATCCATTGTCATTGGCAATTCTTCATCTGTAGTTTTGCTGCTCTCTTCGGAATTGGCTAGATTTCGGAATTGTTTGTGTTTGTAGTTGGGAAGAGGGGATGATCCTTTTAATTAACAGGCCATTTTCAGTCAAAGTAGCTAAATGGTAGCTGGCACTAGATTCACTTGACTTATTTGTTGTGGCCATTCTATTTCACCTACTTTTTCGGTTCTTTGAACATTTTCTCAACGAGGTGGTAATAACAAAAAAGCTTTAACAAATCGCTTTAATCATTGTCGACAAGATGCAATGAGGAAGTGTTTACCGGCTTTGCAATTATTGTTTTCCGAAATGTGATCAGCGATTTTCTTACTTGTGCTGCAGCATGCGGTGCTTTTCCTTCGTTCAGTGCATAGTTATTTTGATTTCTTTTATTTCCCAGAGTATTGTGAGAAATATGCAAAGCCAGAAGACATTGGAGCAGCTACTGAAGAGAAGTCCAGTGATGAAGAGTTAAGCGAAGACGAATATGCAGCCTCGGATGATGAGGAAATTGCTGGTAAAGCCGACCCTTAGGCAACATCGTATGCCTTAGTAGAAAAAGGTCTGTGTTGTACATAAGTTAAAACTTGACAAAACGTGTGGGGTATAAGGAAAAATTCCTGAACCCCCCCCCCCCCGTGTCTTTATTTTCAAATGTGTAAATTAATGCCACTGTTGTTTAAACATTTGAAATATTCATCCACTGCTGAAGACTTGAAAAGGCAGTTTGCTTCAGTTAATACATGCCAGAGCATATGTCCACACATGAAAATGTATATATCATACATCCTTGATTCATGTGATTTAGCTACATTGTTTCCTAAGAAAGGGTCCATGCCTTTGAAAAATCTGATGGGATTGCATATTCCATTGTTACTTGAAGGCAACTTATCCTTCTGATGCATATGGGGTGAGCCTTCGATCAAGTCCGAATTAAAAAATTTCAAGTTATTCAACTTGACGAGTTTTATTTTATAACTTAAACTTGATTCAAAATTTTGAGTCAAGTTTATAAAATTTAGTCGACTCGAGTTATTCTAGTTTCTTTAAATTTAATTGTAAATATTTATAATATTATTATACTATTTGATTTCAATTTAAACGATTATATATATATATATATATATATCATACAAAGTCAATAAACTCGACTTGAAATTGAAAATCAATTTATTAATTGTTTAAAAAATTTGAGTTATTTGAATTTTATTTTATAATTCGGTTTGAATTTGATTGTCAAAAAAAAATCAACTCCAGGAAGAGGGTCTTTGAAAAAAGGTAGTCGTAGCTAAATATGGATATGATCAGGATTCGTAGTTACCGAGAGATGTTCAATGACGAAGTTCCTCTTGGGTGTGGAGAAATATTATCGCTCCATTGTCATCGAATGAGGATAGCCAAGTCTTCAAATCCACTTGTTCAACAAAGATCGGTTCCTAACTCTTACATCAAAAGATCCCAACCCCCATGTGACATTGGCCTGCAAATATTTTTCCACTTGAGCCAATCAATCAATATACCTGTCTTAGCACCCCAAACAAAGTTTGATAGACATTTATTTAACTTCTCTACCACAGAAACTGGCATAAGGAACAGTAAAAGATAATAGACCGGTAAATTGGAGAGCACGTATCACACCAATATTATCCTAACCTAAAAGATAATAGCTTTCCTTTCCACCCTTCTAGACGGGGGTTTACTTTCTCCACAATGGGCTGCCATAAGACCTTGAAATTTCTTTGATGCCCCAAAGAAAGACCTTGATACGTTGTAGGAAAAACATCCCACCGACAGTGAATCACCTCAGCCCAATCTTTAAATCGGTTTACATCAGCATTAACACCATAGAGCTTAGTCTTTTTAATATTGAGCTTCAAACCAGCAGCAACTTCGAAAGCTTTGAGGATTCTCTTTATATTTCTTGCCATCTCAAGCTTAGCTTCTAGGAAGACTATCAAATCTTCAGCAAATTGAATATGGGACATTCGCAATCCACCATTCCCCACAAAAACACCATTAAAAATACCCACATCAACGGTTTTCTTCAGCAATCACTTAGAGCCTCACCAACAATATTGAAAAGCAAAGACGAGAGCGGGCAACCTTGTCATAACCCCCTGCTAATGGAGAAACTCTTTGAAGAAAACCATTAACTAACACCGCAATTGAAAGAACTGAAATACAAAGATTGACCCAATTCCTTCATCTTTTCCCAAACCCCATCTTCCTCGAGATAAAATTCAAGAAATTCCAATCAACTATCATACACTTTACTGAAATCGGCCTTAAAGACAACTGCTTCTTTTTTATTTCTTTGCAAAGCATCAATAACTTCATTTGCGATCGAAGCACAATGTACAATCTGCTTGCCTGCAATAAAGGCGAACTAGTTTTCACCCATAACTTCATTTAGACAGCTCGCCAACCTTCTGGAGAGAACTCGCGCCAAAATCTTGTACAAGCTACCCACAAGCGATACAGGCCTAAAGTCCTCAAAACACTCGGCCCTAAACTTCTTCGGAATAATAGTGATAAAGGATTGATTGAACGAAGCATCCTCAATCTTTCCCAAATAAAAATCGACAAAGAACTTCATGATATCGCCTTTAATAAACACCCAAAATTTCTTGAAAAAGTCCAAATTGAAGCCGTCAGGACCAGGAGCACAAGAACCATCTGCCGACTTAATCGCTTGCCACGCTTCTAAATCAGAAAGTGGACCTTCAATAGCCCTTCTACACAGAGGGCTTAATTTCTTAAGGGGAACATAATCCTTTCACAGGAATCGACTTAACTTCATTGTAGCTATCCCGAAAGTACTTTTCAAAACCTCGTTGAATATCCTTCTGATTCCTAAGCACCACATTCTCCACCTTGATAGAGGAGATATGATTCATTCTACCTCTCGTGGTAGCGGTCAAATGAAAAAAAATTAGTACTTTTTTATCACATTCTCTCAACCACCTTAATCTTGATTTTTGAAGCCAAACTCGCTCTTCACGCCTAAGCAACGACCATAATTTAGCCTTCAAAGCCTGAATTTCGAGTGTACTACCACATTATTCCCATTAGATGAACATAGGACTTCCAATGTTTCAATCTTCTCTTCAACTTTCTCAATGGATTCTTGATCCATACCTTGGATAGCCTTAACCCACTCCTTAGGCCTTCACCCCCTTAGCATTTGACCAACACCAATGCCCTTATTATTTTCATAGATTGCTCTATCCATCTAGATGAAACCAATATCATCAGCCCAATGGCTGAACCATTTGAAAGGTCTGGTACCCGCTTTCAGAATCTCATCTTTTAAAATCACTGGCTTGTGGTCAGAGATACTTCTAGGCATGGACATTTGCACAAGTTGAGGGAACTTACAAAAAAATTGGTAGATATTAGAATTCTGTCCAGCCTGCTTACTAAAATATTTTCAGCTCCTCTGATCCACGTGAACATGCTCCCAGTCAGTGGCATATCGACCAGTTCGTTTTGTGAAATAAAATCTTTAAAAATTCTCATGGCGCTCGGGCTCCCAGTGACCACAACCCTATCTGAATCACTTCTTACTGTATTAAAATCACCACCGATGATGATAGGTACTCCCATACCCTTTATTAGACCGTTGAGTTAAGAGAAAAAATCCCTCCTTCCAACCTGGTCATTAGGCGCATATACATTAGTCAGACCCATTTCTATGATAATTTGGACTAACACATCCATTAATGCCACAACTCTCCTCTGGATTATTTTGCTTCTAACACGAAAAAAATGGGGATCCCAGACCGAAACAAGACCACCAGAAGCTCCTTCCGAAGCAGCGAACGCAATTTCTCCCAGAAACCTCCCCTTCAGCCTTCTTGAAATCCACGAATTTACATCCGGTAATTTCGTTTCTTGCAACAGTACTGCTCTAGCTTTACTCGATCCAATGACTCTACAAATGGCTCGCACTTTTTCCTTCCTCCCCATCCCTCTAACATTCCATGTCAATACAGAAAGATTCCTAATAAAATGGATAAACACACTAAATGAAGGAAAGAAACGATCTAACCTCCTCAATCAAAACCTTTCATTGACCTCGATCTCTTTTAATCTATCACCAACCATGTTTATGGCGCCAAAAACTCCACTTCTAAGGCCTCCCCACAGCAAATGTAGCAGCAGTTTCACTGTAAGTTTCGATACTATCACCTGTGGCATCCAAAGCGGAGAGTTTGTGAAGAACTTTATTACCACTAACTCCCACAAACAGTTTCTTCCCAGACTGTTGAACCCCTTTTCCTTTGTTAGATTTGTTTTCTTCGCCTTAGAACTATTTTTCTGTTTCTTCCTCCGTCCCTCAGGCGAATGAAATTTTCAAAAAAGCAATCTTATGAATGACCACCAGGAACACATGCAAACACACGAAATGCAAAAAACACACTACAGCAAAACTGGCATTTGCGGCGTTTTTTTTATCTATAGCGGCGTTTATAAGCGCCGCTAAAAACACATTTGCGTTCTGACAAACGCCGCAAAAAGCGCCGCTAAAGTTTGCGGCGTTTGTGAACAAAAAACTCCACAATAGGTGTTGATATTTAGCGGCGTTTGTTATATACAAACGCCGCAATAGGTTTTGATATTTAGCGGCGTTTGTATTAAAAACATCGCAATAGTTGTTGATATTTAGCGGCGTTTGTATTACAAACGCCGCAATAGGTTTTGATATTTAGCGGCGTTTGTAATAAAAATGCCGCAATAGGTGTTGATGTTTAGCGGCGTTTTCCTACAAACGCCACAGTGTTGTTGAGATTTAGCGACATTTTTATCGCAAACGCCGCAATAAGTGTTGAGATTTAGCGACATTTTTCCTACAAACGCCGCAATAGGTGTTGAGCTTTAGCGGCATTTTTATTACAAACGCCGCTAAATGTTTGGTATATTACGGCATTTTTTGTTACAAATGCCGCTAAATAACTCATAATTTAACCAATTTAAATAATATATTGATTACCCCAAATCTGTTATTTCAACATGTTCCATTATCCAACAAACAAAACAACAATAACATCAAACTATATATCCATAACAAGCAACATCAAATCCAATATAATAAAAAAAGTTTTCATTAACGTAATATAAGTTCAGTTAAACAGTTCAGTAACATTAACAAAATGTTCATAACACAAATGAGACTACGAAGGTGGATTCTGAGGTTGCGTTTTCTGTATCGTCAGCATCATATCATTGAGTCGTTTTTCAAATTCTTCACATCTCTGCTGATATGTTGTTTCTCTATGTGCTTCCGCTGCTGCTCTCTCTGCTTCCCTAGCTTATTTTCCGCTTTCAAGTTAGCCATTTGTTGATCCAACTATGCCTAAGTAACCTGCTAGTAGACGTGCTTCTGGCCAATAGGTTGACCAGCATCGTTTCTTGAAACTTTTACACGATGCCCAGAAGGAAGTTGGTATAATTCCTTCAAAGTTGTACGTCCTCGAGTCTTGCGCATTCCAGCATTTTCAACTATATAAGAAATTATTAAATGCCAGTTTAGAAAATGAACAAAGTAGTAAATAAAGTTTCGAAGATTACTTTGAATTTATACTTCTTCTTCAACAGTTTCAGGAACTTCAGAAGACTCAGGTGCATTCGATTCCTCGTTATTTCTTTCTTCATGGTCTTCAGAAGCTCGAACAACCCACAAATCAGTTATTTTTCTCCTCGGCATGATATCTGTAATAAACAAACATGAGTAAAAAAA